GGGCTGCAGGCAGGTGGGAGAGGGTATATCCACCTCGGTGGGCAGCAAAGAGCGACCATGCAAGAGCATGGCTTTTTCCCTGCTGTGCCATGGCCATGAGCATCCCCACCTCCTGTATGCGGAAGTTGTACTCCAGGGAGTACTGCAGCTTTCCTTGCTGCTTCTGCTCCACTTCCCACTCTAGGTCTTCCATCTCAGGCTGGACCTGTGGCAGACAGCAACACTACCCTCAGGGTGCACTCAGCCATGTCCCTGCCATGCCATGCTCCCACCATCCCTGGGGCTGGGCAGTGCAGCAGCAAACCCCTCAGGGAGGAGGGAAGTGGGATTGAGGAGAAGGCAGGACGCACAAGGTTGGTCATGGTGGAGTTGCTGACGGCGCACAAGCCGATTCTCTCTTTCTTCTTGGACTTCTTCTTGCTACAGCAGCACTTGGTGATGGAGATGAGGAAGAGAAGGAGGAGAATGGCCCCTGCCACAGCCACGGTGATGAGCGCCCATTTGGGTACTGGTGTGATGTGCAGGGAGCAGAGTTGGATAGAAGAGTTAAAACCAAGCAAAACATACAGAGTACGTTTAAACCCCTTCCCGGTGCTTCAGCATCAAGGAGCTGCACTTTCAAAATTGCCCCTAGAATCATGGACAGGCCCCATGCAGGGAGACTGTGATTCCATTCCCCAAATGGGTAGCAAAGATACCCTCTGCTCCTGAAGCAGCGTATTCTGCACTCTGCAGTAACCCCACCCTGATGGAGCCCATTAGAAAGTGGAATTTGAAGGGAGGGTGAAGTGAATACGCAGCCTCAGGGTCCAGCAGCCCCACCAGGTAATGCTGCCTGAGAGAGGAGGGTAAGAGACGCTGTACTCACACGGGATCCAGCTAAGCCAGCTGTCCAGGGAGCCCGGCCAAGCCGTGGTGGTGATGCTGGTGTGTGGGGAGGCCGTAATCCTGCCTTTCCTGGCTGCCACTGCCATGGCTAATCAGGGGTGACCTGGGAGCACAGGCAAAATTAACAGGGTGGGGATTTCCTCTCTGATAGCACGTGTGCTGCCGGTAGCCCAGGTCTCTAATGAGAGCAAACACAATTAAAACACAGAGCCCAGGGTAAGCGATTAGAGCTTGGCCACGCTGACAGTGAGAAGTGAAATGGAGCGGGAGGGAGCCGCTGGCAGGGCCTGTGCCAGCCGGCCCCTCCCATACAGCCTTCTCCTTCAAATCCTTGCCAGTCTGCCTGCTGGAAGGGGAGAGACTGGGGGGTCCGGGGAGTTCTGAGAAGTAGATTCACTTGGCTGTAGGGGACAAAAGCCAAGAGATGTTCTGTGCTGCCTCCTTCCTGTCCAGGCAGAGTGAGCTGAAGGGTTTCCTCAGCTCCAGGGAAGCCCCATCATCAGCTAACACCCCTTTTTGGCTATTTTCCCTCCTGTGGCAGGGCTGAGGAGCAGTAAGGTTGGCTCCTGGGCTTATAACAGGGCTGGTGCCCTCGTTGCCGGTGGCAGTGCTGCCACCAGGCTGGGGCCACACCGGCACGGAAACTTTCCGTGAGCTCGGTCTGTGCACATGGCAACGCTGACACAGCCGGAGGGAAGGCCTCAAATTTAAAGCAGGATGGTTTTACAGCGTTGCTTTCCCCATGGCAAAGCTTTTATTCTAGCACGAACACTTCCTCATAGGCAGATTCCTTTCGCCTCACGGGGACAGGTGTGCCCGGAGCCGTGAGCGGCTCTGCAGCCACCAGGGCACGGGTGGCAGCCAGCCCAAATGCCCGGGCTGGCAGCTACGTGCCTGCTGCTGCCCCAGCCTCCTGGCCTGCCTGCCAGGGGGTCCCTGCTCAAGCAGCCAGCTCCACCTCGCTCTGCCCGCGCTCTGCCCATCCCAAGGTACTCCTTGCATGGGGACCTGAGGAAACCACGTCCGCATTTCCCTTCGCTGAGCCCTCAAAGCCAGCAAGAGCCCTTTCTTTTTCCAGCAGTGTGCTTTGCTGCATGTGGGCATAGGGCTGGAGACACGTGGGAATCGCTGTCATCCCTGCGGCGTCATTGCTGGGACAATGAGGTGCAGGTTAAATGACCTGTCCAGGGCTGCCTGGGACTTCTCTGTCACTGAACCCCCGAAGCATCGCTCAGGCATTTCAGAGTGCCAGGCCGCAGCTTTGGAGTGAAGGGTGGACAGGACAGCACAGGCGAGCAGGCACCCACACAGCACAAAATTAGGAATATCAGAACTTTTTGCCTGCCACAGGCTGTGCCACATTAGTTTAACATTGATCCTGGTTTAAAAAAAACCTTTATCCCAACCCTGAAGAATGAACTGAGCCACCGCTTTGGGAGCGATGGGGACAGCCCTGCTGCAGTCCGGCACAGGAGGCATAGTCTCAGTGGGCATTCTGTTGTGACCATCAAAGACCCATGTTCCTGGAAAAGGGGCTAGAGGAACCCTGACTCTTGCTCCCACCCTGTGCTGACTGGGTTCCCAAATCCAGACTTACCGACAAGTATCCTTCCCAGAGTCAGTCTTCCCTCCCTGCTGCGCGGGTTCCAGTCAAGCCACCACGTGTGGCAGGGGCATGCTGAGGGCTGAGATGGGACCCCACTGGGCACGCAGCTGAGGGTGCAGAAGGGATGGTGGCTGCACTGCACAGCCGAAACAGGAAAGTCTCCTTTGCCAGCTCAGGAACCGGGTGGCCCCAGCAGCTCCACCGGCCCCACCTTGCTGCTGACCCAAGCAATGTTCATGCAGGCAAAAAGCCAGCGGGGAACTCCCTGCTGGGCCAGGAAACAAAAGTTGCCCTCCTGCCTGCAAGAAGCTGGAGGGCATTGCTGCCCAGCTCCATGCACTGCGAAATTCGCTTCTCCAAGTTATCCCTGCAGCGATGCTGGGCTGGACTGTGTGGCTGCAAGCACTTAGCACAAGGGAATGGACACTTTCAAGGGGATGGGTGCATGACTGCATCCATCCCTGGTGAGCTCTGGACTTAGGAAGCCCAGCTCCTCGGCCCACAGGGCATGCACTGTGTGAGGGCCTGCAAAACAAGTGTGTGGATGAACAGGAGTGCTCTGCTGAAACACAGCAGGGAGGACAGACAGGACAAGGGGATACAGATTGGGTGGTTTCATCCTCCAGCGCCAACAGAAGCACCAGGCACACAGCCAGGAGCAATTTCACAGGCTTCCATTGCATTAAATTTATGCCTGTAAACTTCTTCCCTTGCTGCCAATTCAGCAAAGTCTGCCCAAAACCTGCCTTATCACCACGTAAATTTGGGGTGGCAAAGCAGAAGCAGCGAGTAATACTGCAAAACTGCCAGTGTCTAATGGGCGATGTAGTGATGGGAGGAGATGCCCCAGAAACCAGACCTGTCCCAGCTCTGTTCTCAGGTCACTGCCCTACCACCCTGACTCACCAGTCCTTCCAGATTTTCACATGGCCACCAAGGTGTTGCCATAGAAGGTGCCTAGCCACAGGAGACGGGCTAGGGCTGCCCCTCAGCCACCCAAAAAACAGCCACACTCACAAGGGCCTTGCACTCCTGCTGCTCAGAGAAGCACCATCTCCTCTCATCCAGAAGCAGGAGATGCAGGAATGATGATGCAGGAATGATGCTGCAGCAACCCTCTAGGGGAACCTTTTGCTCTAAACTGGAAGTCCCAAGGGATGCACAAGAGAAATGCATTATGGGGATGGAGGAATAGGGAATATTAAAATCCACCAGAGAAAGGGGGTCTGCATAAGCACACTAAAAACTGAGCATATAAGTAACCTTTTCAATGGGTTGTTTGCTAGTTGTTTGACAGCTAAAAGAGAAGAGATTCAGATCTTAGGAAGAAATTCTTTAATCAGAAGGTAATGAGGCACTGGAACACATTGCCCAGATAAGTTGTGGCCTCATCCGTGGAAGAGTTGAAGGCCGGGTTGGATGGGGCCCTGAGCAAGCTGATCTGGTGCATGGCATCCCTGCCCATGATGGAAGGGATTGGAACCAGATGATCTTTAAGACCCTTCCAACCAAAATCATTCTATGATTCTATGATCTCAGTAAGACCAAGCTACACAGGACCCTGGTGGCTTCCCACATTTTGGGAGGAGATTTGGTGACCCTGGTGATAGCTTGGTGTCATGCACGGGGACAACTGCTTGGCCTTAGTGCAGGTGACTTTGATGTCCATTGGCAGGAGCAAGGCTGGGCAGGCTGCAGCAGTGGACGTTGTTCCAGGAGCGGGGCAAGGGAAAAGCTGCAGGATGGTCCTGCGTCAGCCCCCCTCCCCTCACCCTCCCCACATCCCTGACAGTCACACTCTTGGACAGAAAAGGGGTGTTGAACTATCCTGGCACCGTGAGCCCCCACAGCGCTGGGTGCCACACAGCCCATGCAGAAGAGGAAAATCCTAGCCCCAAAATCCACCCTGCTCAGGACAGCATGTGAGACGGCTTCCAGAAAAGAAGGGAAAAGAGACCCAAACCCATTACAGTAAAATTGCAAACGCGCTTCACCCAGCCACGCTCTGAACCTGCCTTTGCTCCCCGCATCCCTGCGCGTCGCTCTGGACCAGACACCCCTATTTTTTTCGGTCAAAAATACAACTATTCAGGGGCTGGGAACTGAGAGGACTAGAGGCAAGCTATAAATACTCCAAGTGCAGAAATCAGAAATCACGGCTTGTGGACAGCGATCTGAGCACAAGCGCCGAGAGGGCTCCGGAAGCAGGAACCTCTCCAGGGGTGACCGCCAGGGTGACCGCGGCTGTGTCCGAAGCCAGGCGCAGGTGACCGTGATGCTGTGCAGTGCCAGCTGGGAAATGCAGTCTGGCCCGGGCACGACGCCAACCAGCCGGCTGCCTACAAATCCCAGCGTGCCGGGAAGCGGAGCTGCGCCCCAGCCCGGCTCCTGCCGGCTTCCTGCAGCGCGGGCAGGGGGAAATATAACCAGCAGCGCCCTGGGCAGGGCTGGGATGCTGCCGCTGGACGGGCTGTGCCGGGGAGCAGAGGCAGCGCTCGGGGTGAGTTTGGGCTTTTCTCTCTAGCAGAACCCTGTGTGTGTGCAGAGGGTAACATCTGCTCCCTGCTCGGCAGGAAGGAAGAGCTGTGGGGACCAGCAGCACCCGCCTGGAAGGTTTTCCTGGGGTCCCGCAGCGAGACGTGTGCCCGTGCAGATCCGTATGCGAACAGCACTGCGGGTTACTGGGGCAGGGAGATGGAAAGGAGAAGTCGGGCTTGGTTTGCAGTGCTGGAAGAGTGAAGCAGAAATCAGAGGTGGATTCTCCCATCAGGAAGGGCTGCTCAGCTCCGCTGCCTCCTTGCATTTAATTTTGACTTTCAGAGCATACTTGGCCGAGATTGTCAGAGGAAAGCTTCTGCCTGCGCAGCTGGGGGTGTTGGCCACCCTCTCTGGGAGGAGACCCCTTCCCAGGATGGGGCATGGGCTGCAGGAAGAAGGGGGATGCTCAGAATCGCCTGGCTTTCCAGGCAGCCCTGGCTGGGGGTGCAGGAAAGTCCTGGTGCAGGACTTTGTACTCCTCGGGCAGTCGGGGAGTGCACATGCAAGCACTGAGCCCCCATGGCAAGGCTGGCATCAGCCAAGTGTGCTGCCTGCTGGCCCAGGCAACATTTTGCAGTCCCTGAACAACAGATGTTAATTAAATAAAACTGGGGCAAAAGACAGGTCTCTGTGGAGACCCTGAATTGTCCTTTACACTGCACGTTGGTTTTGCTCTTTCCTTGCACAGCCCCCCAGCGCAGTAACCAGGTAGGGCCTGGCTAGCTCACAGGGCTGTGGAGGGGCAGACCAGCTCCATCGCAGGGGTCTCAGCCTTTATCCAAGCCCTCACCACACACTTCTACTTACTCTGGCCTTCTACAGCTGAAAATGAGTTGCTGTTGCAGTGAACTTCATTTGTAGATACAAATTCACCATTCAAGCAAAAATGGCAAAAAAGGCAACATGGATGTGAGCTGGAAACCTACCTACAAGCTCTAACCTATTTTCACTTTTAAAGACAGCCTTATTTTTCTTGGAAAAGAGCTCCACAACGGTTTTCAGCAGTTCCATACAGAGAAAAATACTCTTTGAGAAAAACTAAAGTAAAAATAAAGGCATGATCTATGTTTGAAAAGCCACTTTTCCATCAGATTTAACTGGAACTATTGGAACAGTTTTTCTCGGAGCAAAGCTGCTGTCAGCAGAAACAAGATCATTTGGGCTGCTGTACGTGGAGTGTAGGATGTTTCCTGTCTCCTTTCCACTCTTCTCCCTCTCTAGATTGACTATAGGTCGATTATATTATAATCTGTCAGTTTAATTTTGTATTTTCTCTTAAAGGCTGAGAGTTGAAGATGGCAGAGCCAGAAAGCACAGTCATAAACACCAATGTAAAACAGGTAAAAGGCTGTTCATTACGAAACACACATCCTGTATGTCCAAACCAAGTTTTGAAATGCCACCACAAAAGACAGCACACCACAACTCAGAACTGTGGTGGCCTGAATTGCTCCTGCCTGGGTTTCAGCAGAAGTGGCTGTCCCAGGGCTGCTGGGCACCTGGTCCCAGTGAAGTCCATGTGATTTCCAGTTGCGTGGACTGGGCAGGTACATTTGCTCACACTTATGTTTTGGAGCAGCCAGGGAGAAAACAGCATCTTCTCTACATACACAAAGACTTTATTCAACTGTCCAGAACAGACACAAATGAAGGGTAATACCACCAGTATGTGCAGAGAAACCCAGCAAAAACAGATGACTGTGGCTGTGCTGTGCTCACAAACAACAAAATTATGAAGCAATCACCTCTGTGTGAGCTGTCCTTGGAGCATGTGGCACTTATCAGACAGGTTAGGGTTTCACAACTACCAGCCCCATCCTTGGTGGCCTGAAGATGAAGACTGGGTGTGGTACCTCTGGCATCAGGAACTGTGACACAGGGGTGACACCGCCAGCACCAAAACCTACCAGTCTGGTTGGTGCCCCCTGCTCACCCCACCTCCACAATCTCCTTCTCTGCTGTCCCCTGATTCCTCTTTTCTCCCTGTCCTGCAGAAAGACCCCAGCACAGCACTGGTCATTGCTGTGACCACCAGAGCCATCTTCAACCTGGAGGAGGAGCACAAGCTCTACCTGGAGAAGGGCAAGGAGGAGTACACAAGGCACCAGCAGGTCAACCAGGACAAGCCCCTGCCACCAGGAACAGCCTTTGCCTTCATCCAGGTGAGCCCCACACCTGGCTAGGGGCACATGCAGACACTTGCAGGATGGGGTGAGAGCTCAGCTTTCCCAGCTTTAAGTCTCAAATCCCATCATGGGATGTAGTCGTGCCTGTCCTGATCTCTTGGCCTCATTGCAGGGCATTGAAACATGTGCTCTTGACCAGTCCATCTCCCACCTGGCTTTTCCAGGATGGTTGCCTTGTCTGGCTCTTCATAACATGCCAGCCTTGCCATAGCTGACAGATGCAGCACAAACCACTAACCTTAACTGTAAAAGAGCCCCTGCAAACGTACTGCAGTCATGCCTCTTTAGAAGAGTCTCATCTCCTCACAGGCAGTGCAGTATGTTAACAAGAAGATCCTGGAGAGCAACCCAGCAGAGAGGGACCTCTTTGACATCCTGGTGCTCTCCAACAACAGCCCAGAGAGCGGCGTGCGCATCATCAGCAGCGCCAAGCACTACGGTAAGGGGGACCCATCCCTGGCAGTGCCTGATTCCCCTGGGAGGCTGCAGAGCACATCAGGCACCACAGTGGATCATCAGTGGTAAACAGAGCTGGGGGCTACAAGGGGAAGGGGGGAACGAGTTCTCTTGGATCCCAGCTCCCTTCAGCCTTATCTTTCACAGCAGGAAGTCTGGCAGCATTTTGCACAGCCTGGACATGTTCAGGCAGGTACTGAAAAAAAAAAAAAGTTGTTTTAAAAAACCACCCTAAATCCCAGAGTGCTGTCAGGAGGAATGCTTATTTAAGGGAGAGATGGAGGGAATATTTAACTGCACCCTGCAGTTTTATAGGAGCAACAACAGGTCAAGAAGATGCAGCAAGAACACAGGAAAGTTCCCCACACACCACTGGGAAATTCATTGCCCTGAGCTCTTGCAGCAAAGCACACCGAGACCCGGGGAGGGAGGGGCTGTGAGGAGGATGTTGCTCCATAAGACTTCATTCACATCCCTGAAGGCCTGGAGATCTCCAAGTTCTGCTTCGTCAGTGATGAGGACTCCACACAGTACCTGAAGTCCCACGGCGTCAAGCTGTTCCTCTCAGCTGACAGGACAGACGTCTGCAACGCCCTCCGGAGAGGTGCGTTCCCCACTCCATCCCATGACCCCAAACCACGTTTTTTCCAAGCAGCTCAGTACCAAGAGACAACACCAGAGCCTGTGGTTTCACACAGACAAGGGGTAAATGGTGCACTGATTACCAGTACAGTCCTGAACAGTTCAATCTCCTATTCTGTCCTTAACAGTAGCATGCAAACAAGACCAGGCTAGCTCAGATGCCCTCACAAGTCACTGACTGCATTATGCATCATTCTGGATGCAGCTCTGCCGTGAGCTGGTCATTCCCTGCCTGACATTTAAGCCTTTCTAACCAAAGATGCAATTCTATTCATCAATGAGATGAATCAGTGATTCCCAGGACTTTGTGAAGATGCCACAGAAATTTGCTGTCTTGGTACATGTAGAGTTACTGTGTGCTCAGTGATAGATGTAAGCATTTGACCTCAATCAGAGGGAGTGGAGTCTCCCCAACTCCTCTAATGGAGTTAATCACCTTCTTATTAATTCACTTGGGTATGAGCACATCAGCTGGCCACTGTCCTTCAAGGTCAGGAGTAAGCCATCCGCAGCCTGGACTTTCCTTCACTACGCAACACATTCCTGGAACCTCCTTGAGAGAATCATTGCCCTGACAGATGTCTCCCATCTGGGAGTCTGGGTCCACATATGAGGGTGGGCAGGGAGCAGCTTGTAGGAAGAGACTGTAATTAAGCCAATTACCGCAATCAATGGAGATGCCAGCCCATATTATTCACACCACAGAGTGCTAAATCTGGGCACTAAAGATTGAGGCTTGGCAGAGTGAGCAAGCACCAGGAGGAGGGCTGCTCATGCCTTGACAACCACCCACAATCTCTTACCACACTTCAGTATCTCCCCAGACCTCGGTTTCTGATCAGCAGCACTTTCTCAGGGGATAACACATGGAAAGGCTGGGTTGACTCACCCAGAAAGCTCCCTAACTTGGAGGCCCTGGCCTGGTGATGTGGGACAGGGCTGCAGCAGATGTGTGGGAGCAGCTGGCCATGCACGAGCCACCCCAGGGAGGGGTGTCCCTGCTGACCCCACCTTGCTCTGTCTCACAGGGGTCTCAGCAGCGCTTGTCTTCCAGCAAGAGGTGCAGGCCCCCAGCACTCCACTCCGCGTGGTGTTTGACGGGGATGCCGTGCTCTTCTCCAGCGAGACAGACCAGATCTTCCAGGAGCAGGGCCTGGAGGGGGCAGTGCAGTACGAGCAGGCGATGGAAGCCATCCCCATAGGAGAGGTGAGCATGCCACCTCGCTTCCACGGGCACCCACAGGCTCTGCCATCTCTCCTGCTAGGGCTTTGGCATGAGCAGTCAAAAAAGCAGAAATCCTTACAGATTCCCTATGCATCCACTACTCAGTCCCTGGTGTGGGTCTGATCTGGAGTCTCACTGGAAATGGATCTGTTATCTCCTATATGTAAGCCCTAAATATCTAGGATTATGGCTAATTCCAACACCACCTTTTGTAGGCTGTGACCTCTTACTGTCCAAGTGCCTGCAAGACTCAGACTCAGAGGCACTGCTTGCTGGGATGTACCTTGCTGGTCGCTTTGGGATTAGGATGAGCATCACAAGGCTCACCTTCCTCCTAGGGACTGCAGTGCACAGCCCCAGTCCCAGCATTGCCTGGTCCTGCAGCCCACAGGCATTGTGTGCTCTGCAGAGCCCTGAGAAAGCCTAGAAGAGAAACAAGTGCCTTGTACAGGCAGAGTAGATGTTTCCTTATTTCCCACACACTCCCAACTGTCTTGCTGTGCTTCCAGGGTCCCCTGAAGTCTTTTGCCATGCACCTCGGGAAGATGCGTAAGAAGTTCGGCCAGGAAAAATCCCCCATCCGCACCTACCTGGTGACAGCGCGCAGCGGCCGGGACATGGGCATCCGAGCCATCAAGACACTCCGGGAATGGGGTCTGCCCATTGACGAGGCTTTCTTCATGGATGGGGCTCCCAAGGGTCCCATCCTCGCCCAGATCCAGCCTCACATTTTCTTTGATGATGGGCTTCATAATATCCAAGGGGCTCAAAATGTGGGGGTACCCTCTGCCTGGGTCCCATCCTGCTGCTGATGGGCCGCAGGCCAGCAGTCCTCTCTCCCAGCAACACAGGGGACTAGGTCAGTTGGAGGCAAATCTTCTGGTGGAGAAGGAAAGATCTCCTAAGATGCATCAAGCAAATCTCAGGGAAATGGGATGAGAGCATGGACTCCCGTGCAAAGCTTGATGTGTATTTCTGCTCCTGATAAGAGGTCCTCTACATCTTAGGATAATGCCAAAAGACACAACTGTTCCAGGACGGGAGGACACCTTTGCTGTGACACTGGGTTCTACACCTACTGCTATGTAGGACCTGGGGACTTTTCTCAAAGAAGTAATTGAAGCTAATGCCACATACATGAGCTGAAGGAAGCAAGAAAAAATGCTAGTTTTGGCTGTGCTCAGGCAGTCTCCAAGATGGAGCAACACAGGAAGGACATCAGCCTGCTGAGCCAAATCCAGAGGAGGCCAACCAAGATGATTAAAGGGATAGAGCACTTCTCCTGTGAGAAAGGGCTGAGAGAATTTGGATTGTTCAGCCTGGAAAAGAGGAGGCTTCAGGGTGACCTAACTGTGGCCTTCCAGGACCTGAAGGGAGCCTACAGGAAAGATGGGGAGGGACTGTTTACAAGAGCATGTAGTGATAGGACAAGGGGGAACAGCTTCAAACTGAACAAAGGCAAGTTTAGATTAGATATTAGGAAGAAATTCTTTACTGTGTGGGCACTGAGGCACTGGAATAGGTTTCCCAGGGAAGTTGTGGATGCCCCATCCCTGGGAGTGTTAAAGGTCGGGTTGGATGGAGCTCTGAGTAATCTGGTGTAGTGAAAGTGTCCCTGCTCACACCAGGGTGGCTGGAACTGGATGATCTTTAAGGTCTCTTCCAATCCAAACCATTCTATGATTCTATGATTTATTCCTAGGATCTCTGCCTAAAGGGAGTCTGTTGCTTTCCTGCCTCACCAGACACACTCCTCTCAGTTTCTTAGTTCCTGAGGAGACTGATGTGCTAGTGAGTGCTACAGGCAGCTCCAGCTGAACTCAGAAGAAGAAGAAAAACTTCAAAACTGTAAAGGACCTACAAATCTTTTAGAAATAGGTGAATAGGTTGAAGAAAGAAAGACCAAGCTATTCCTCCTCATGAAAGAGATTATAGCAAAAGACAGCTTTCATTAGGCATGCACACTGCTCACAGAGTGCTTTTAGGAGACAGACCTGTAGGACACTCAGCTCCTGGAGCTGCAGGCAGGGACAAGGCTGCAACCCAGCACTGAGGTCCATCCAGAGAGGGAACAGCTCCAGTGTCCCACCAGGAGAGGGCACTGGAGATGGGCACTGCAGCCAGCCTTAAATGGATTTCTAGGGGCATGGGTGGAGGGCATGGGTGGGGGTCTCAGGAACAACTGCTCCTTGCACATGGGGTACGTGGGTGTGCTCGGTTCCTGCCTGACATCACACCACACCCCGAACAGGGATGCTTCTCCTCTGGCAGTTTGGACTCAGTTTTTAATTTTCCTGGGGAACGAGGAACCTGCAAGGTTCACCTGCAGGTTTCTTTCCCCAGGGCTGGATGTGAGTTGCCACTAGAGGCCACTGTGCTGCCTGGGGACATGGCACCTCAAATCCCTGCCAGCAGTCCAGAAACGCCTCGTAAGAAAACACAAACTGGATGCTCAGGTGGCGGCAGGATTATGGAGAAGGAGACAAAGATGATGCTGTCTTATTTCTTTTTAATCTCAGTGTAATCAGAAAATAATTGTTTTTGAAGGCTTCACAAGTGTTGCTCTCACCAAAGCTTTTTTACCCCTGCAATAAATAAAAAAACAAGCATCCCAGTGTGAGTGCTTGTTCCTCATGCAGTGTGGGAGGAGAGGTGGGATAACTCAGTGCTCCTTTACACACATTCATTTATTTATCAGGTGTTTGACATGTTCATCAAAATAGCTTAAATACACAAGAAATTTTCAGTGGTCTTTGGACTAGGTCCCTGAATATCATCTTGTGTTTGTCTCCAAGCTCACTCCTGCTCCCTTGGGTATGGGGACTCTGCACTTGCCTTAGCAAGGGGAGCTGCTGGCCCTGACCAGGCAGAGGTCCTGTCCTTGCCACCGTGGCCACCGTGTGGGTCCAAACTCGGGGCTGCTACGGCAGGGCAGGGATGTCCATGTGCACGGATTTGATAGGAAGCCACGTCCAAAGAAGCAAAGCCTGGCAGGGTCTTGGCACCAGGCATCTGGCCCCTGGCCCTTTTGCTCAGTGCAGATGCTGAAATTAGATGTTTTGAGGTAGCAACATCAACAACATCAGCCACTCATCATTCGCTAATAATGCTAAGCAGCCGTCAGCTGAGCAAACATTAATTACAGGATGCTCCAAACACGCTCAGTAAGCGTCCCACTTTTGTGCAGGTCAGATACCACCAGGCTCAGAGCGCTGATCCAAGCCCCCAGCCCTGCCCACCCCACACAGCCGGCTGCTTCTGCTTCTGTGGCAACTGGTGCTGGGGACACTGACCCAGTGCTGGAGGTGGTCCTGGAGATCTTCCACCACCCTGACCCATCACATTTGACGGTGGCTGAACGGGGCCAGCAGGAGCTTGGTCACTGCCTTGGATGAGAGGAAATTAGCTGAGTCAAGGGTGGTGGGGACTGGCCCATGTGAGCTGCTGCAGTGCATGGGATGCTGAGGCAGGGGGAAGTGCCACATGCCTTCCTCCAGCACTGTCAGCACAGTGGGGGATGACAGGGCAAAACGTGCCCAAAATAGGAAAAAAGGAAGGAAACTGGAGGCTTGTGGGGTTGCATCACTGAGGGCCAAGTACAGCTGCTTCAGGCCATAGTTCAATCTTTTAGCATCAAAACTGCCCTTATTGCCCTGCTCCAATGATGTGCCATCAAAAACACCTTCTGTCAAGGACTGCTGCAGCCTCATGCCCTGCTCCAAGGACAAACTTGCTGTTTCTGTCTTAGAGGCATCTGTAATGAGTTCATTTATGCTTGGGGTGCTTCTCAGTTTTTGGCTTTCTGAGGCATCTTAAGCTCCCTCCTTCATGTATTGCTGATGCCCTAGGGTCTTGTGCCTCTGCTGCAGACTGAAGAGGGTTTAGCTGCGGTGGATGGTCATGGCATGCTTCTCTGATACACATTTCATGTTTTGCTGGCCAGGGCAAGGCAGGAGCAGACCACACTGCCGTGTCACCACCACAGATAGGCTCCATTTGAACCCTGCTGGGTTTCATACCTTTCCACTCTAGGAAAAGAAGTGCAAAGGGAGCTCTGAGGACCTGCATTTGATTCTGACCATTGCTTTCCAACAACTGCCCACAACCCCAGCCAAAGCTGCCTGGTGTCTGGGTTCCCCTCTGAGACACCCTCCTGGTCCAGAAAAGGAAGTGGGCCCCTACTCTTCTCAGCCACAGGCAGGCCAGCTGCCTCCTCTGCAGGGCCCAGCTCTGCCGCAATGCCAAACAAGTGGCCCTTGTTTCAGGGTGGGGCGCGTGACCCCAGGGATCAGAGACTGCAGCTGGGTGGCCCCGAGGAGTTGTGGGAGACCTTTGCCCAGGACCATGCCCTTAATCCCTCACTCACTGCACCAGTCAATTTAGGGTTGCAATGCTAAAAACAAAACAACTCAGTGCTAAGAAAGAGAAAGGGGTTTATAAAATGGTGGCACTGCAGGGAGGGAAGATTGGCAGGTATTTAACTGCTAATAGAGATCTGCAGTGGCACTGTCCGAGCTGTTCAGCTTCATTGACTCCTGGCTGCAGAGGGAGAGGATGCTGGAGGCTGCAGGACCTGGGTGCAGCTGCAGTGTCTGCCAAGTATGCTCCCACACCTCCCTAACCTACAAGCACCTTTAGTTATGAGCACTGAGCAAGGCATCTTTACATTTTGACCATAACCCTAAGTCACCCTGGTGGCAGTGTACCTTAAGAAACGCTCAGGAGTTCTCAGCCAGAGAGGCCGAGATGCCACGTCCCACGCTGCAAAATATTATTAACAGGCTGCTCCGCATGTAGAAGGTCAGAGGGAGGGTGTGCAAAGCCACAGACTGTTTGCCGACGTGCTTAAAACTGGTTTCAAGATCTTAACCCCAGGCAGTAACACTGAAAATAGTGTCTATGGTGGCAAGTAAAGATGGAGCTTAGGAGAAAGGTGACAATAAATTAGAATTCAGAGCCTTTGTGGAAATATTGACACAGCAGAAACTGCCCCAGGAGGTCCAGACTGACTCACCAAATCACCAGTGAGGGCTGGTTGCTTCCACTCCAAGGAAACATATTGCAACGTTTAAGCTGATCATTGGGTTGCAATGGGGTGTTGACCCTCATCTTTCTGAGCCCACACTCCTCTCAGGATCAGAAGTGTCAATTGCTTTAGTGTTTTGGTACATGGAAGAGACATGATTGTATAAATGATGGTCATCTTCGGGCAGCTTCTGCTGGAAACTAAAGGAAATAATTAAATAGCATCTAGTGCTGGCAAAGAAATGAAAATGTTGCTTGGATGTAGCTGGAGGCACTTCCCTGCATCATGATGGAACCCCCACCATCACGCCAATACCCCCCATCCCAAGCCAGGCTTACATGGGGGACAGAATCAGGAACTGCTCAAGGTGGTGACAAGGTGAGTTGGGTCCCTGTGTTCCCCATCACATCCTGGCGTGGGTGGGGATGAATCAATACCATCATTGCCACTTACTACCCCATCCTGTCAGCCGCAGGTCACGCTGCTTTGCTGCCAGCATCTGCCAGGATTGTTGTTGCCCATCCCTGGCAATTCAGCCTGCTGCAAAATAACTCGGGTGAGGCAAACAACATGAGATCCCTGCCCTGAGGAGCAGACAGGGCCAGCAGCCAGGGAGAGGCAGGTCCCCTCCTCCCCAAGGTGGGTGCCAGGTATGTCACTAGCCATGGGGGAGGATGGGCCAAGGGATGACGAAGAACATCCAATGCCGAGCAGGGTCAGGAACAGGCAAGTGGCGTGGGGGTGGAAAGGATTTGGGCAGGGCCATAGAGTGCGTGGGACACAGGGACAGACAATGTCAAGCTTGGCAGCAGCCCACAGAGGCAAGGTAGTGTGTAAGTAAACCCTAGTGAAGACACCAGAGCAGCTCAGAATCTTAAAGACCTTAAGTATTATATTTCACTTATGAAATCCTGTCTGGGTTTTGTTTTTAAATAGCTAGGGAGAAGATGGACAAGCAAGATGTGATGAGACCACTTCATATTTGAAGACTGCTGCAAATGGCCCTGATGAGGATGGAGCCATGCTCTGGGCTCCTGCCTGTTATGACATCCAGTTGTTTCACATGGCCACCAGTGAGCGACCCTCACCTGGCGTGAGAGACGCCAAGGGAAAAAATACCACCCAGCCTTGGCCTTTTGCGACTCCACTTAGCATTTCCCCAAGGTCACTGCAGCCCATGATGGCAGTCAGAACATGTTTAAGCAGGCTGCTGGCCAGCTATGCCTCCAAACCAGCTCCAGGCAGCTGGCATGAATGGACCG